ATGAAAAAAACATGTTACGTGAAACAAAATAAATTGAAAAAAAAAAAACACCAAAATTGCTAAAACTTTAACTTAAAGAAAAAACTGAAAATGTAAAAATTAAATATTTTGAATATTAATAAAAACTATAATATCATCTCTCAAGTGATGATGACTAAAGGGAATTACATTTCGTTAAAGGAATCTGACGAGAGCACGAATGAGAGAAAGACATTCGATTGAGCAGAACAACAGGTGCTTGATCCTCAGCCAACAGCAGCAGCAACTAACCAGCTAGTCAGTGTAACCCATGCGTCTCAGATGACCGGCTACTTCATTGCTCAAAATGACCTTTGACCTCCTGTCTCTTTGTGCCAGCGAATGCACAAACACACTGACAAACCAGTGAATACTGACACATACAGCTTTCATATCATATGCCAGAACTATAATCTGTTGTCATTTGTGTTCTGAAATTTTAGGATGCTGATCTTTCAAGAAATCATATTTTCCCACCTCAGGCCTAATATTCATATTAATGGTGAACATACAGTACATGGGTTTCATCAATGGCCAAATCTTTCAGCACATGTGGAGCAGCATACATTTATTTTGGTGTTTGTAGGAGATTTATCAGGAGCAGAGCATGTGTGATAACAGCTTCTACACTCTTAAAAATAAAGGTGCTTCAAAAGGTTCTTCACAGCGATGCCATAGAAGAACCATTTTTGGTTCCACAAAGAACCATTCAGTAAAAAGATCTTTAAAGAAACATCTCTTTCTTACCTTTTTGTAATCTGAAGAACCTTCTTTCGCCACAAAGAACCTTTTGTCAAACAGAAAGGTTCTTCAGATATTAAAGGTTCTTTATGGAACCATTTAGACAAAAAGGTTCTTCTATGGCATCGTGAAGCACCTTTATTTTTAAGAGTGTAGCTCTATTTTTGATGCGCTTAATTAAGCAGAAATTATGGTGCAAATGTGCTGTAAATATATTTATCAACACCATATTTTTTACAGTTTATCCTCTTATGAAGCAACAGAAAATAATGGAGTTATTTATCATGGAATGAAATAAATAGATGCATGCAAATTGGCTGATATAAAACATTATCTTTTAAATGTTCGTTTTTAAGTTCTTTTGCATTGCACTCTAAAATTAATTAAAACGTGCCTAAATTATTATCCTGTAATTTAATTAGGTTTAATTATATTAAGTCGTTCAGATATAAACACAATGTGGTGCCGTTTTCCGAGAATGTTTTTATGATTGGACTTGTGTATTTTGGAATGTTTTCTTCTGGTTTGTGGTTCTCAGTCTTGGTCCACATCACGTCTCTTATCGGACACGTTTTCAGCTCATAAAGGGTTCTTATGATGAGATGAATCGAGTGGATTAGATGAGGGAAACATCTACAATATCCAGTGATGGTGCACATCACAAACAGGATGGTTTACATGCATCCCAATTATCCGTTTATAATCAAACCGATGGCTCATGTAATCACCTCAGTCAATTCCATTGAGCTTGATACGAATGTAATTTCAACTGAGCTCAATCCCACTGCAATGTTGATGCTATTGAAAGGGTGTAGACCTGAAATAATCCGACCAACAGGAGAAAATAAAGCATGTAAACAACTGAACTACTTCAATCGAATTCAAAAATACCTTGCACACATGCACAGAGGCATAATGTGTGTTTACATACATTTTACGTCATACAAATGCGCATATGCTTTACTAAAATAACGAAAACTGAAATAAAAGTGTATTAAAACTACATAGACATTAAAAAAACAGAAAAACAACAAAATCTCTAAAAGATAGATGATAGATTGATAGATAGATAGATAGATAGATAGATAG